ATTAACCCTTCAAAACCCAACAAAGGCTGCAAATCTCCCGGACCCAAGAAAGGAAACACTCCGTATTTTTAAGGTAGTGAGAAGTTTGTGGGAGAACCAAGCCCAGGAAGGTTTGATTCCTACTGGAGTCTTCCTCTTCCGTAGTGTTTATGCCATCGGTTAGAACAGAGGGCAGGCATCTCTTCCGTGGATTTTAACTGAAGGGCAGTACAGACCTCCAGATATTGACACAAAATACAAGGAGAGCTTTGCAGAGTGTCCCGCTTTGGTCATCCATGAGGCGGTTCTGTATTCTGTTGGCTTGATTTTTACATTATCAGACTCAGTTTATTTTTTTTTTAAACTTTGATAACCATCCGTCTGGGCAGATGTTTTGAGAACAGTGTACTACCAGCAGTGACCTGAAGATGGCAGCATTGTGCGACCTAACTGCTAGCTGTGCACTCTGAGGTGTGTGTTCCTCATCCCTTTGGATTTCAATTGTCACTCAGGCTTTTTCTTCCCTCTGCTTAATGACTGTGTATGTAAATGACTGCCTTTCTTCTGCAGAAGAGGTCCCATCTATCATTCCTGTTTTGGTTTTAAGCTAATGATTATATGTAATTATATTCAAATAAAATATTTACAAATAATTATGTATCACTAGAGCACATAAAATTTAGAATTCATGAACATCAGTGCTGATGAAAGGTACCCTTCAATTTGGGGATGTGGGAGTCTTTACTATTATTGTTTCTGTTTAAAAGACATTAGTGGCCAAGAATCAGCAAGTCTCTCTTGCAGGTGTCTTACAAAGCTCGGAGTGGCTCCCCCTTCCCCCCAACCTTTTGCATATTTATTTTCTGATAATAGGTAGGATATTTGTTTGGAAAATCTCAAGGGATTATATTACAGACCCACATCTGGAGAGTTCTGTGAGGAAAATAAATTATTTTCTTAAACTTTCCAGAAGCAATCAGTTATTCTTGAACTCGAAGACATTTTCAGGTGTTCTGGGGGTTATCCAGTTCAACCTGAGGATGGCTTAGTGTGGTCAGACACTCCTTCACTCAGTGATCAGACAGACAGAGGTGCTCGCCCCTGTTAAACACAAAAGCATCCACAGCAAGTCCCTCATTCAGATTTTTCCAACGTTTTGGAGTTTTGGCTGTAGTTCACTATTGCTTATTACCTGTCAGCCACATGCAGAGCTGAACATGGAAACAGATCTCCAGAGCAAAGGGCCTGGCTGGCTCTCTGAGGAAAGCAGGCTGCAGCAGTCACTCCAGGGGCGTTTTTGCTGAAGCCTAAAGGGAAAGGTAAGGACAGAGTATTTGGAGGGACTCCCAGATGAGGTAAGGGGCTGGAGAGCATTAGAGCCACCAGAGAGAGATGCTCAGGGGTCCCCTTGGAGGCCGCTCTGCTTCTAGAAGCATATTAGCTAAATATACACTGGGTGATCCATCACTCAACTTTTGTGTCTTTAGTCGAACCAAAGCAGGCCTTTTAATTCTTGCTGAAAAATCAGACTGAAGGCCAGGTCCAGGGGAAGAAGCTGTGGCTGGGAGGATAGCTTTTTCTCCAGGGCTCTCTCTGGCCTGTTTCTGATTTGGGTGATAACTGTGGCCACCCATTATGGATGCAAGTGTGGCAGTGTGAGGGAAATTAAAAATGCTCTTAGTAGGTGACCTAAATGTTCGCACCATTGGAGCCATATGTATGTTTTGGATGCCTTTGGATAAGGCATTTCCCTACAGTTTTCATCATTAGGGTTCCAAAGATGCCATGCGGTAACCCAAAGATTGAAGAGAAACCGGGGAAGCAAACCAAAGGCACTCCAAAGACGACTGTGAGCCTTCTGGTTCCTTCTTTCTGGATTCTCATTTCCCCTTCACTTGGTTGTAAAGGAAAATTGCACACTACTAATTTTTTATTTACAGTCTTAAACGATGGCGGATGCTGATGTCGAGCTCTGGAAAACACAGCTCTAGATCTTGTGTCACTGTTTGGACGAGGCCCAGATAACTCATTGAAGTGCTTACGTTCTGTTTTGTGAAGCTGAAGGGCTGGGTTCTCACATGCCTTCTGGGTTCCGCTGTAGATAATATAAGCACTTTGGCTTCACCGTGCCCAGGACTGTGCAGTTATTTGGTCGACAGACGTGACAATTCATTGTTTTCAGGAACCCATGTCAGACAGACTAAGCACAAAGCATGACTGCTTTTGTGGTCAGGGAAGTCCTCTATGACTAGATTGACATTTCATTTGTAATCCTTCTTAACAAATCAGCTTTTGACTGAGAAATGAAAACGACCACTGTATAAATACCTAGGGACAAGAGCATACTACCGGAGGGAGTAGCCATCACAGAGGCCCTGCACACAGTGCCATTTCTATTTCCAGGGGCTTCGTGATGCCATGTTTTTGGGGGCTGGAGAACATGTTCTGAAGTAGCTTTTAAAATTTCCTGGTGATCCGGGTGTAAAAATACAGTCAATAGCGGGGGCTAGAGAGACAGCTCAGCTGTTAAGAGCCCTGGCTGCTCTTCCAGAGGACCTGAGTTCAACTCCCAGCAGCCACATAGTGATTCACAACCATCTATACTGGGATCTGAATCCCTCTTCTGATGTACGTGAAGACAGAGCACTCACACACATAAAAGTACAAGAGTAAATAAATCTTCTAAAGTAATATAGTCAACAGTGAAAGTGCAAAAAGCCAGTGTGAGAAACTCCAAGCTATTGTAACTGTGTAGAAGCTCATTGAGACGATAGACTTTGGGTCTCATTAATTCCTGTGTGTGATACTTTTTATTTGTAATATTTTTATAAAAGTTTTAATATCAATGCCACTGTCTTAGTGAATGGTTCTATTGCTACAATAAAACATCATGACCAAAAGCAACATCGGGAGAAAAAAGGGTTTGTCTAATCTTCTGGCGGGTAGTTATTTTCTAAGGCAGGCAGGCTAGGAACTCAAGGCAGGAACCTGGAGGCAGGAGCTGATGCAGAGGTCATGGAGGGTGCTGCTTTACTGGCTTGCTCCCCCTGGCTTACTCTATCTGCTTTCTGACCGCATCTGGGGCTACCTGCCTAGGAGTGACACTACCTACAACCAATCATCAATTAAGCAATGCCTCGCCTCCAGGCCAGTGTCATGGAGGCATCTTTCTCAAGTAAAAGCCCATCATCCGGAATAGGTCTAAGGTTTGTGTCAAGATGACAAAACCAAGCAGAATGGCCACTTCATAGAGCTGCTAAAAATCCTGAAGATGGGGGATTTTATTGGTACCTAGGGTGCTGCTAAGCATCCTATAAACACACAGGATAACCTCCCCAAACAGTGATGTAGTCTAATGATGTGTCAATGGTGCTGGAATTTCCATTGCATGTAAGGAACAGAAGGTGATATTTGCTGCAGAGTTTATACTTCAATGTGGCGATCATGCATAAAAGTAATCTCAGATGTCAAAAAGCAGAAGACTATTAAAGAGTGTGGGACATTGTAAGGGGTGTATTGGTAGACATCGCAGATGAATTGTTGGTGGGCATGGACTATAACCTTGGCCTCTTTGGCAATAATCTGGAAGGCGGCTTTACTTCTGGAGGTGTGATGCTCCGTGACTTGGAAGTGGCCAGTCCTTTCGGTTATGCAGAGCATGGGACCACTTGCCCTCGGAGGTTATCCCTGCATTAAAAACCAAACAAAACCTTTCAGAATCAAAGGACATCTCAACCCTTGGATAAAAATAGAGCAAGCTGTTGTGGGCTGGAAAATATAATTATTTTCTTCCCATTTCAGGAGTGTTTAAAGTCTCAACACCTCCAGTGCCCTAGCACCACGGACGCAGGACAGTGCTAATTTGATTCAATTCTTATTACATGTTGTTAGTTTCTCACTTTTTCTATTAGAGCAAAAATAGTGTGATTTCAGCTCCTTGCAATAGCACCGTGAGTTTTGTTAGTTGTGCAGACATTTTTCTGCCTGGGTTCATTTCTTGAACCCAACAGAAGCAATTGAAATTTTGTAATATTTTTCTCCTCTTCTTTGAAAATCTGGTACAATGTATTTTAATCACATTCACCTCTTTCTTAGCTCCTCCCAGATCTTTCAAAATCCACCCAACTGTGTCTTAAAACTATACATATGTATATATTAGTATCCACATAAGATTTTTACTATAAAAACATACCGACACTGTAGTTTTGCCAGATTGGTAAGTATATATTTGTATTTAGTCTCTTATTTCTTTGCCAACATTGGCACCTAATAGGTTTTCAACCAATGCCATTAAAAGGTTTATTTGTACCTTTTTTGTGTGTTGTGTATGTATTTATAGCATGGGCATTCTTACTCATGTGAGGGTCAGAAGTTGATGTTGGATGTTTTCCTGTAATATTGTCCATTTTAGGTTTTGAGATAGTGTCTTTTATTGCTCACGAAGCTCTTTACCCTCTGAGTCATCACCCCAGCTCAATAAATGTCTTTGAAATATGTAAAAAAAATTAAAAAAATAAGTTTGAGATGATTAGATTTCTACTCATTTCCCCGTGTCGTCTTGAAAGTATTTACGCCCTTGAGACAGTTTGGTGGGGTGCAATCACCATATTCTCATGGAGCGTCACCAAGATGCACTCATTAATTTGTAATTGTAAGACTATTACAGGAGATAAAATTCAATCCATAAAGTTTCTGAATACAGGATTCTCAAGACTCCTAGTGCTTTACAATTTTCCTATAGTCTTCCTGCTTAGGGAAGGATGATTATTTAAAATATTAATCATAAAAATGTGCAAAGTCATGAAATTAAACAGAATTAAACAGAAGTTCATTGAGGCATAAACTAGGGCAGGGTTATTCTGCAACAGGATGGATTACAATAAATACTCCTGAATTAAATTTATTTTAAAATGTAAGGCAACATGTACAGTGCAACCTTTTATTTTAGGTGCCGTTTTATTCTCGTGAAGGAACTTGTTGGCCAGTTCACTACATTCATGTTCCTTTACTTTCCCTCCTAGTGTTATTTCTTCACAATCGAGTTTGGCCTTTGCAAGCAAGAAGGTCAACTGCGAGCATATGGAGCAGGGCTCCTTTCCTCGATTGGAGAATTGAAGGTACGAAGCTGTGAGTGAACATCTCCTTCCCAAGGAAACTGGTTCAAGGTCATGGGATATATTGATTGGTTTGTCGGAGCATTTCTACTCGCAGCTCCCCATACATATTTAATATGGAGGATCTGGCACCTCAGATGTGGGTGCTGGCCTAACTTTTTGCACCTCTGAAAGTGGGTCAAAGCCGTTCCGGGGGTTTGTGGTGTGACTCAAATGGATGAGGAGCCATGCACCCAAATCAACGGGAATGACAAATGGAGGCTCGAATGCTGGCAAACAAATGGCTGGCCTGAATGTCGTGGGAAAAGTGGGTAGTGAGTAAACAAAGTTGCTCTTAATTGGCATTTGCATGTGAGCCTGGCTTTGCTACTTTGGTTTCCATGTCCTCCATAGCTCCATGGATTTCCCTTCTAACCCCCTAAAGAGGAAATTGAGGAGATATTCCATCTTCTCCAAAATGAATGCAATTAAAATATTTGTGCATATCAGCAGTTTAAGAGAAAATAAGCCGAGTAAGCAAAGTGTTGAGGCATGTAATATGTGTTTGTGATGCTTAGAAATTATTTTTTTTCTCACATAGTAAAATGGTCATTTATTTGGAGATGGTGGGCTCTGGAGCATTCTGATTTTAACATTCTAGTAAGTTTTGATAGATTTGGGAGGCAATATGGCATGCCACCTGGAAATTATCCTGAAAATAACTTAATCTTTCTTTGACTATTCAGGATTACAGACCAGCTTAGGCTGTTCTCTTCAGCATTGATCGCTGTTGTATAATACAGTTGGGGAATGCGTTGTTGTGGGAATGTTTCGCCTATTTGTATTCTCAAAAGATGCAATTTCATAGCATTTTTATTGAGTTGCTAGCTAGTTTTGTAACTTCATTAATTAATTAATTCATTCCTAAAAACCTCCACTGGATGTTTTCAGGTGGCACGCACCGTGCCAAACACTGGGAATTAAAAGGCAGAAAATGACGAAGAACTGGAATCCGAAGAAAATAACACCAGAGGTTATGAGATTTTTAAACAGTTTAGGATCTTGGTACATGTGAACTCAGTCCCTGTAAGAACCCATTGTTAGAGACGAGACAACTGTGGGCATGAAGCCATCACGGGACTTGCCTAAACTACACAACTAGAATGCTAGAGCCAGGCCACGTGCCAGGCAGTGTAGACTGAAGTATCGGTGCTCTTGAACCAACAGCTTGAGGCTCTTACTATCCAGGACTGGACACCTAATGCCAGTTAAACAGCCAAGCAGATAATAGAGAAAATGGGACAACTGTGTCTGGCACATGGTAGGCCACGCTTGCTTGAGAAGGCGTTCCAGGGGGAACCCTGTTGCTCACAGTGAGTCTTGAGGAATCAGGAGGGTGGATTGGGAAAGATAAAATGAACAGATGAGCGATGGGCCAAGGGAGTGGGTAACACTGGGCTTCAGTCAAAGGCCTGCGTGTGTGCGCACGCACGTGCTTGCGTGTGTACATTCCTCAGTAGCTGTGTGGTCAGAAAGCACCTTTGTGGAGTTTGTTCTTTCCTACCATGTGGTTCTGAGGATTAAACTCAGGTTGGCAGGGACACAGCAAGTCCCTTTACCTGGCTCTTAAAAAAAATACTACTTGAAGACTGTAGGACTTAAGATGGTTGACACCTCGAAGAGAATTCACCAGGGTCCCCCTGTGACATCAAAGGACTTGGACAGTGTTCACAGAGGCCTCTTCCTTAACATACAGGGGAGGGCATAGTAGCTGCTTCCCCCAAAGTGAGATGTCTTACAAGAACAGAGACAGACTCAAGAAGCCTAGTTGGTCAGTGACCTTTTGTATCAAAGGAGACAGGGATGCTATTTGACATCTCTTAGAACATGCCAATCACCACAAATGAGAGCTCTTAAAAAAATAACACATTTACTGTTAATAATGGCCAAAGCCTACAGCAATAAGACATCCTACCCCGTAAGACCATGTCCTCTAAGACTGCTTCTTGTTCCCCTGAGAAAAGTCAGAAAACAAAACTTCCCGAACTACATCTATTTGTATTCTCTTTGGATGGTTTATAAATTATTCTAGAAACAAAAGAAATCTCTCCCATGTCCTCCCCACAACTTTTGATAGGGTCTCCTGGTCTGGTTAATGAGGCATGTGTAGGCAGCATTGGAGCAAAGATGCTGTTTTTGTTTTTACTGGTGTGGACAGAATCGTCTAGAAATGGAAATCAGCTAGAAATACATACAGCAAAGGGCATTGTCTGCCGTGCAACGTCCTGTTCAGGTCCATCACCTCTGGTGATTAGCATTGCTCCATTCTCAGGTTTCCACACTCCAGCATCCCCTGGATTGCCGTTTTGGACCATTTTTACAATTTAGATGTTCTTTTCGCAAGAGATACCTTATAACTGTTCACACGGAATACAGAACACTGGAGTTTTCCTTAGCCAGCCCCTCTCTCCCTGCCCATCTTGTTCCTGTAAGTGCCCAGAACATTTCACAGTTCATTTAAGTGTGTGTGTGTGTGTGTGTGTGTGTGTGTGTGTGTGTGTGTGTGTGTGTGTGTGTGTATGCATGCGAACATGAGGACAGGTGTTCACTGAAGCCAGGAGGGTATCAGACCCCTAGATGGTTATGAGTTGTTCCTCCATTCTCTAGAAAAGCAACAAGCACTCTGAGCCACTAATCTGTCTCCAGTCTCCCAAATCTTTTTTTTTTTAATTTGGAGAAATTTAAATTTGGTTCTAGACCCAATGTAGGGATGACTTTGTTAATAGCATTATCATAATTCTTGTATAAACATCCATACAACTTTGAATGAATTGATCTTTTGCAGTGAAGTATTTTCTACTGCTCCAACTGTTAGTCCTAAGTTTCTGGAGGCTTTGGTATAGACAACATAACTTTTATCTAAATAGACCCAATTCACAAGGGCATAGATGTTGCTCTGCAGAGTTGGTCAAGTGCTTCCAGGAAAGGGGGGGGGTTATCTGTGGTTGGGAGGAGACTTTCACTTTTTTCCTTCATAAAATAACTTGATTCTACTTTCAGAGAAAGAAATAAAGCAAACATGGAAAATGTTACAAAAGCTAGCATAAATTTGATCCCTGAACCGTGATGGCTGACAAACTGCTCAGAACTACCATAGCCTGGGTGGGTGGGGATTTTCCTGCATTTGCCATTGTTACAAAGAACGGTTAATCGTGAATTGAGTCACCCTGGAGAAGCAGCTTGGAAAAGAGATTGGAAACAGGGTAACTGGTTGCCTTTTTACTCACCGTCTAGCATGTGTCTTTCATGTCCCTTTTCTCCCTCCCCGACCCTGCAGTTGGCCTAACAGTATATATATAACCTGTTTTCCCATTTATTACTTCTTGCCTATTCATTCATTTCCTTTGGTAAGTGCAAACTTGATGGTTCGAGCTGTGAGACAGAGTCTTGTAGGAAAGGCCTAAGAAAGGGATTAGTATGTTGGAGAACCCACAGTGAAGTTTGTTCTTCACTTTGGGAAGGGTATTGGCTATTTTTCCTAGTCGCCTGGCTAAAGCAACTTCAGGAAGAAAAGCTTTCATCTGGCTCATGGTTAAGGGGAAATGGTCCATCATCTGGGGAAGGCGTGGTGGTGGGAATAGTGGCTGGAGACTGTGGCGGAGGGAGATGGTGAACTTTGCTCAGACCTACCCCAGCCCAGAAGCAAGAATCGGTGCTGGGCTACAACCCTCAACACTGCTACTCAGTGATTTACTTCCTCCAAGCTAAGCCTCCACTTCCAGAAAGCGCCATGCTTCCCAAAATAGTGCCACACCAGAAGCCAAATGCTGAAACACATTAGCCTGTGGAGGAGCATTGCACATTCAAATGACAATAGATGGGAGGAAAAACCTCACAGTGAAGTCTTGCCTTTTAAAAAAATCTACTTCAAAAGCAAAAGGCAGTGTCCTTTCCCGTCAGGGCACAGATTAGGTGGCCTCAGCATCTGCTCTACAGTAATTGCTGGAATATTAAATATACACATTTCTTTTGTGTTTCAGGTCTAAGCAAATTTGATTACCTGGTTTCTTTATTTTTTTCTTTATTTCTTCCTTTCTTTTTGGCTCTAGTTTTAGGATGTGCTTGCATGGTGAATTACTGGTTTTACCTTTATATGGGTATCCATCAGCATTCTCCAAACAGCTTTTTATTTATTATGATCATTTCTATTTACTACCACTTAAGCTGTTGCTGGTCAGAATTACTGCCAGGCTATGGAGGAGAGCCTCCAGGGCTTTGCAGGTTTTCTGAGGTTACCTAGAAGGTCAGTGTGGCTGCCAGAATAAGGACTCAGCTGCTGAGCTCTCTGCCTTTACTGGGTTGGCGGGCTCAATCCTCCCTTCCTGTCTTCTTCCTTTCTTGAAGGGGCAGGTTGGGGGGGGGATGCTGTTAATAAGGACAGGCAGAATGCTAAAGGACTGACGGGTGGAAACTCCTCAGCTGTGACTGCTAAGGAGGGAGGCTCCTCCCGTACCCATGCAGCTTATTCAAACCAAGAAAGCCTAAACATCACAGGAAAATTAAGTGTGGTGAACCATTGCTGAACTTGGCAATAGGGATATTGATCCCATGTAGGATTGGCTTTAATTAATAGCATTATCATAATCCTTGTGTTTCGAAGGCAGTTGTCTATTGCACTGAAATATTTTATATTGTTGCAGCTATTGACCTGATGTTGGTCCCTCAGTGGCTGGAGCTGTGATGAGTATGTAAATGAGGCTCAAAGACCATTAGCTGCATGCATTCACAGTGCACATATACATAATCGAGTCCACCTATCTGTTGTTCTGACGTGGGAAAAGATGACTATGGTGTGAACATAGGAGTCATTGCAAAACCTTATTTGGAATCTAGGACCCAAACTACCCACAAATCAGACTTCACACTTGGAATCTTTTTTTTTTTTTTCTTTTCAAAATTTAACCAGTCCTAATATAGAGAGTGAGGATCACACTGTTTGCATCTAGAGTAGTTGAGGTAATACC